TGCTTGAAGAAAATAAAATAATGTAAATGTTAGCTTTGGAGCGTATTCGAGGTAAACTCTAGAATATTGCACCAAGTTATCTTATTTGCCTTATTTCACTTATTCAAAGCATTAATGTTCTCTTGGGTATCTTAAAGTAAAAGGATTAGGTTTAGGAGTAGTAAATACATTTATACCCTTACATTGTGAATAAAATATCTAAGTTCCTTTCTCAGTCAATATTAATGAGATCCAGTTACATTGAATATGTAAGCAAGCAGATAAACTAGATTAGACATAATTAATCTGAATATAAATGCATTCATACAATATACAAGGTGAATTATTAATACTGTCATGCATATTTAAAATTAAAATGAGCTTGTTAACCACATAATACAATAAATCTCAATCGAACAAGAGATCATTATCATTATTGGTGAACAATCCCTTTTAATTAATGCGGGTCCCTCAACTCTGTAGCATAATAAATCAACCAATCAATATGTCAATAACTTATCCTGTTGGAGGAGTTCATTATTACTGTTGTTGAGATTCATTTACTATTAAGCGAGCACTTCCATTAAAATAGTATGTGGGTCCCTTAACCACTACATGAAAAATCGAATAACCAATACGCCAATAACTTATTCGGTTGGCGAAGTTCATTATTGCTATTGGCGGGCAAATCCCATCATTTCCATATCTCTTAAGACAATGCCTTGTCTATCTATATGAAATGATTCCCGATTATGTTTAGCTTTTCTAAAATCACCTAATATAGACCACTCCGTTGGGGAGCTAACACTATTGATTTTAGATTGAGTGTATAACGTTATTAAAGCTCTAATGAAAAATAAAATATTAAATATCTTGTTATTATAATCTAGACTCTTTAAATCATGCGTAGGGCCTTATTTTTAAAGATCTAATTATAATGAACATTTAATATTATTATTTTCATGAGATAACCATTCTTGTAATATTAAGACTCTTCAAATCATGCATGGGGCCTTATTTTTGAAGACCTAATTACAATGGTGTTAATAACGAAGGCCATGGGGTAATGTATAAAAATCCCCGCTCCCACTCAATTTTTAATCATTCATAATTAGGGTTTTCATTTTATTCATTTACATGATATAATGCATGCAAAACGTCTTAATTTTAATCCAATTAAATTTAGAAAATATTTGGACTTTAAATGATTCACTACTATTTAATTTGAGGCACACTTTTTTTAAATAATTTACAAAAATAATTTTTCGTTTCCCAATAAGTACCCTCTAATTAATTAGTAATCAAATCCAATTAATTTTCATAATTTAACTAATATAAATCAAACCATTTAAATAAATATCATGGATCCAATGCATGAACAATAATAATTAGCAATTAATTATTTCATGCACCATATACAACAATAAATGACAGATAAAGCAAATTAAATGGCCAATGGATTCAGTTTTTAACATTTAATTGCTCTAAGTATTGCGCGAAGGCCCATCATTAGCCGCGTCATATGGGATTATTTCCCATCAATCCCTCTTGATCTCCGGCCAAAACCTTGCCGCCGACAACTCTCCGGTCGCCGGAAAATCGCCGAAAAATTCCAGAAATTAAATTAAGCCTCAAAAAATTCCAGAAAAATTTCAAAAAATTCGAAAAAATTCCAGAAAATTACTGAAGCATAATTTAACCCTTTTGGACCTTCTTGAAGCTTCATAGCATTCTTTGATGAATATTGCATGACTTTAAAAATATTTACAACTTGAAATACAATGGAAAAAATAAATTACATCATTGAACTTTCAAACGGCTAAATCAAAACCTTAATTACATTCATCCAAAGATAAAATTACATTCAATGAACCTATAAGCTTCATCCATGGCCCAAACACAAATCATCATCCATTCACAATTATATATACATCATTATCTATCAATTTATATTAACATATTAAATCATACATCAACATACATCAATAAAAAATATATATGAATATAATTTTTGGATCCATGAATGATGAATTTTGATAAAAACATGATCTCTAGTAATGAATCAAACCATGCTCTGATACCACTGTAGGGAAATGTGCTAGTTTTAAAAACTTTTCGAGGGATTTAAATTCATAGATCTTGATTCATTACATAGAAACAAGTTTTATGCAAAAATAAAATATGATGTATCATTCAATTAAAAGATTGAATACTTACATCAAGGTTTGAGTAAACCTTAGATCTCTCCTCTAAAGTGAATGTTCTCACTTATTGTAGATCCCTTAGCAAGATGCATTCTCCTTGGATCTCCATCTTCTTGGTAATTGTTTTGCCTTTAGGAATCACTCATATGCTTCCATGAATGACCTTGGAAAACTAGGCTTGTGGGAGCCTCCATTAGATGAGAACATAAACCCTAATTTTCTAGAGAGAGAAAATTTATTCCTTTTTCCTTCTTTCCAAAAATCACACCCAAAATATACATAGACCATGTATATTTATAGGCAACATAAAAATAAAGAAAAGGAAACCACAAATCCTTCTCAATCTCTAATTCATATGTCTCAAATCTAATATGATTCCAATATCAAGTTGGGTTATGAGTGAGAATCCATTGGGCCTATTATTTTATTGGCTACAATGAATTAATAATTGGCCCGGTCCATGGACCCAATACAATTAATTCATAAATTAATTTCTACTCCACTAAAAGAAATTAATTGAACTTCAATTAAATAATAAATAACCTCTAAGTCAATATTGCACTTTGACCCCTCTATTCTTAATTAGTTATCGGATAAATAAAGTCATCAATCCGACTACTTAATTAATATATTTATTTTGGTACCATTGATTATTTCTGACTCGATCACAATAAAACATTTGTTTGACAAAAATAATAATTTAAATAAATAAATATATAATAAATCATTTTGTCTAAAAATACACGAAGGCCTTCGAATTTACTTTGTGATCAACCATAATCAATACAAAATAAATACAAGTAACAATGATGCAAATATTGAAAATATAACCCTCTAACTATTAATTACATAACTACCCAAAGTGTCGGTCTAAGGATCCCGAAAAATCCGCCGAACAAATCAAAGTAATTATTAATTAATAAAAGAGTCTATAATTTTCTCATACTTAAGAGTCAAATGCCATGACGATGATAGGGAGGAATTGCATACGACGGCTCTCGTAATATATCTCAACCTAACGCGGATCCAGTTCAAATCTTAATTAATTATGAGTTCATCCATAATTACCGACTATGAACCATTTATGATTACTATTTATATATCATGCATTGATTGCCATCACATACATATATATAAATATTTCTTGTAATCAAATGGACACTATCAATTCTATAATGAATCGAAATATAATACATTGAATTCACCAATTGTATAAAACATAAATATTTTAGAAACGTCAGGAACATATGTTACTTTAATCCAAACAGGAATTTGCTATGCTAGGGCATATAAATCTCAACAGTCAAAGCATTCATGAAGTATTCGTAATCTACCAATAGTCCTTCTACAAGGATTAAGGAAGTAAGTCTGAAGTCTAGAGTGTTTGGTCGGGAGAGTCACGAAGCCAGGAAGATGTTCAATATTTAGTTCTTGGTAAAGCTTAGTGGATGTGAACTTGAGTCATAGTCCATTGTACATTGTTTCAAAAATAGCAAATCGTTCACTTGAGATGGCAAAAAGCTTTGTGGTTTTAATCCCGGTTGGTCAGATTTCTTCCAACAAGGGTTTCCATGTACAAAAATTTTGGTGTCAATCTCTTTAACCTTATTTTACTGTTGAAAATTTTGTTCTTGTGAATGTGCAATTGGTAATTTTTGTGAGTAATTCAATCAATCAGAAAAATCAAGCAAGTTGACATATTCACCTCCCTCTAGGTCATTAAAGCATCGTTTCCAACTAAATTAAGCTTCTGCATCGCTTCACTCACAATTTTTATTTAATTTAAAATGATCTCATTTCAGGATCATTCTGATATGCTAGAAAATGTTTATAATTTTGTTATTTAAAAATTGCTCGAGTGAGAAAAAGAATAAAATCTCTCTCTCTATACATATATACATATATATATAAGATCATATTGAAAGTTTCTGTTGCTTAATATTGAGGGGCATTCACAAATAAAAATTGAAAGAGCCACAACATTCGTAGGTACCCCGCATGCCAAACTGTACAGCTAAAAAATTAGAATTTTGGTAGATCACAATCTCTTGTGGGTGCATCAATTACATTATCTGCTAAGAAATATATATAATCATTAATGCCTCCTCCAACAATAGTAACAACTCCATAATCAATTATCTTCCTGGTCTTGATATATGTTGAGGAATATTAATTTCATCAATATCCCTATTAACTAAATAATGAAATATTGTTACATAAAAAAATTGGTGTAGATTGCAATAAAGAACTCTCCAAAGGAAAAATGAAATAAAACATTAATTTCAACTTGGTGCTAATAATAAGAATTTAAAAAATAAATGTTCACAACTTGTCATTTTTATTTAATAGTACAGATTTGCAATCATACAAAGGACAAGAAAAAACCAGGTTACAAAGAGAAATTGAGAGAGAAGAAACTGATTTCTCATTGATTGTCAAACCTCTCAAATAAAACCTCCTATTTAAAACCCTCTTCTAGAAACCCTCCAAAAAAAGCAGTTGGTCACATTAGAGCATGTGTGTGTCATTAAACATGGTCAACCATGCAAAAAATAGACAACACAAAACCCTTATGTGAAAATGAAAACTTCAACCACCAAAAACAAATACATGAGAATAGGAGTTGGTTTAGAGATTGACAGAGATTTATAGGTCATTTTTTTAGGTCAGGAGGTCCCAAAAAGAGGTCTAAACTATGTGAAACCAGTGATTATTAATGTTAGCTAGCTTCCCAAGCTATCTAAAGGAAAGTTAATAATAATAAAACTAGGGACAATAATCAGTGAAGGTACAATTGAAGTATGGTTTATGCATTTGTCACATAAAGCTTCGAAAGGTCGATCGTATTTTTTCCACAAGATCCTTTGCTGTTATGGAGTATTCAACATTCATCTGCAAAAAATTAATGGAGATCGATCAATTAGATCATGTCACTAGAAATAAACCTCTTATGTTTATTATTTTATAGAAAATCTTATCAAAATTATATAATTAAACATAAAATTGTAATAAAATTAGAGCATTAGATAGATTGAAAAGGTACTCTAGAAGAGGAGATATCATTTGATTGATTAGTTAAATTCTTTATGCAACAAAACAATGAGCTATTTCGTATTTTTTTAGTTTTGAACATGCAATGTATCATCTTATAATGTTTTGGCAAATCACAAGTATGAAATTACCTGAGCAATAATGGTTATATCGAGAGAGGAATAGCCAAATGACATGACACTACTATTGATCACAGTTAGATGAAGCTTCTCTATTTCACTTAATGTTTTCATTGCGAGACCATTTTGCTTCTTGCAGTGAATTCTGATGAGCACATTCTTGTCTGAAACTCTTACTTCGATCTCGGGCACTGCTTGGTTGGAGCTTCTATCAAAGTTCTCATCGGATGAGGATGTGTCATCTGAACCAGAAAGCCGAGCTCTCTTTGCAGAAACAACCGACTCCACGTAGTTTTCCTTTGTCTCTTTCTCGAGTGTCTTCTCACGTTCTTGAAGCTGTTTTATGTACTTGATAGCATCTCCAAGGATGGAAGCTTTATCAATCTATATAACAAGCACAGCAATTAACATGATTAGGGATGTGTTACATATAGACATATAAGTATTATTTTAGAGGGCGGGTCTTGGCAGAACGATAAGGTTCACTATGTTCTTCAGACTCCATAAAGGTTGCAGTCTCGTGCATTGGGACTAGCCCATATATAAGTAATTTTCCAAGAATTTTCTCTATTATACCACAGTGAAGTTTAAAATGCTAGAGTATACTTAGAAACTATATGGGATTACTCATTTATTAATCTAACTGACTATTTTTATATGATGGAAGAAGAAAATATTAATGGAAGCAACATTGTTTAATTGGCAACTTCTAAGGCATATGGTTTAAAGTTTCAACCTTCACAAAGCTAAAATTACCAACCAATATGGCTTAATAATCAGGTCTTGTTATGGTTTTAAGTGTTGCTAGCAATGAAAGCTTTGACTGATACCTCTTGTTGGGACAATATTGAAAATGATTTCACATAAGAAATACAAGATACAATCAACAAGATCATGAATTTACCATCGGACCTCTAGCTCGGATGGTATAATGTAGTTGTGAGTAACAGTGTGTGTGTTTGCTTTAACATCCAGGAAAAAAAATTCATGAATTTAAGACATTATGTCCAACAAGAAAAACATACCTTCTTTAGGCCTGGAATGAGGGCTGAAAGAGCTATGAACCGCTGTGCGAGCCTTTCACGGCGCTTTCTCTCTGCCAAAACATGATCTTGAGCTTGTAAAGCATCCCTAGTGGTGTTAACCCTTTTGGCCCCTTTACCTTTTGCTAATGCATCATATGAGTTCTCATATGAAGACTGAGAAATCAACACCATCTGCTCATCCTTTGGCTTCCCAATATTACCGTTGAGATTTCCATACAACTGCTGTGAATGATCTGGTTGTGAATCTGAGTTTCCGAAGGAAATAATGTTGCAGGAAGAAGAAGAAGAAGCCTTTTGAGTTGTTTCTTCTTTGATGCAACTGTTCCAACTTCCTGTCTTGAGCATTTTGGCAGCCGGTTTCTCGGTCGCCACCACCATATGAGAAGTTTCATGGGGTGTGCTCTTGAAATCAAGATATGGGTAGCAAGTGTAGCTTTGTGAAGAGAAAGGCTCAAAAATGAAGTCATCAAGTGAGTGATCAAAAGAGGTGGTCATCTGGCATTGACTCATAGGGCTTGGAGCTTCCATTACCTAAAAATTGGTAGAAAATTTACATAAAAGTGAAACTAATTAATAATAAAAAAAAATGGCATCAACCCAATTCTCTCTTTATATTGAAACTAATTTACCCAATTCTCTCTTTATATGTCCATATATCAATTGCAATTCTTACTAAATACAAATATATATATATATATATATTAACCTTACCAGTTCAGATAACCATTTGCTGGATGAAATTTCCATTGGTGCAGCTTCTTTATTCACTTGGATATAAAGAGGATATATCTATGATCCTAGAAATTAAAACACCCAAAGTTAATATTGAAGGCAACAGGAATGCAAATCATCTATAAATGGGGAAATCCTAACTGTGTGTGAGTGTGTGTTTTTCATTTTTCTTCTTCTGTTGAATCTATAATAAAGAAGTGATAGCTGATATACTTATGAGCTTCGTAAGTGTGTATCAAACATGAAAACAGATTTGGAATAAAAAGGAAATAAGTTTCAAAAGACTTGAATATATAATCAAAATAGCAGATCAGACTGAGATCTGTATGTTCCAAATATATTATTGATTGAGAAAATTAATTACCATCTTCTAAAACCACAAGAACAAAATCCCATTTTGAAGGGCAACCATAGAGTGAAAAGATCATTAAAGAAGACAGATGATAGTACCTTCAAAGAAGACAGATAGAGATCGATAGAGAGAGAGGGTTTAATTTCTTTTTCCAAATGACTTCAAGAAGTAGTATATGCTTATATAGAGATGTGTTAGTCGTACCTCTTATTATTATATTGGCACGTGTGAAAAGTTCCTTTCTTTGTCACTGTTCAAATGGAGGCCTCTCTCCCTCTCCGTGTACGTGTATTTTGGTGTGTGTGTGTGTGTGTTTTTTTTTTTTTTTTTTTAAATCACTGTGTGTGTGTGTGTGTGTATTTTGGTGCTCTCTCTGGTGTGTATTTGGTGTGTTGGTTTCTACTAATGTATGTATTCTTTGGGTCAGAAAATGGTGGCTCTCTGACCATGACATGGAAGATGGTACATCCCAAATTACGCGGACGGTCAAAAGATTGTTCCTCCATTATTCAAATCGTTCACTTCGACACTTCACTATTTTTATATTATATGTTCGAGAATTATAAAATGATATTATATTATCTTAAGAAGAAAATATAAAATAAAGCTTTTGTTATTATTATTATTATTTTTTTTTACAACAAAACATGATATTAAAATTTAAAACAAAATTAAGAAGATATATGTGAAATTTAATTTATAAAGATGGAGGAGATTGACTTAATTTCTTTTGAAAATCTAAAAAGATATGAGTAAGGGTTAGTCACGTAGAAGACATGAATAATAATAATTATCAATATCAAAAGATTGTTCCTTCAATAAAGTGAATGCTAGTCGTACCATCTCACATTGGTATGTACACCAATATCAAAATGAGTTATTCGTCCCTATCTCATTATAAGAGTAAGAAATAACTCTAGTCATTCTCTCATTAACTCAAAAGAGTTAAGCATATGTCGTCTTTTTTTTTTTTTTACTTGTAAGTGAAAATATGCACCATCCTTTCTTTGAAAAGAGAAAGATTTCCTCCTAGTTCCTCTTTTGCATTTGAGAAGGCAATGGACTCAAAACTCCATAGAAGAATAAGAAAACCATGTCTGCTTCTTAGAATTCGAGGAGACAACTCCATCGATCTCCTGGGCAAAACTACAAGCAGAAATTAACTTTGACTAATCTGAATTCAAGTCGAATTTGCATCGTGTACAAGCATAGAAGAATTCTTTCCATATCTCAAGACTTAATTCAAAGCATTCCAATAAGCTTCCCAACTGTAAAGGCTATGTTTACAATTGATATGATTGTCAATTATTTGAGAATACTCAAGTTGAGCTGAATTGCCGCCATCATTGAACAATAGCATTAAGCTAGAATCACATGGAATGTGATTTTTCTTCTTGCTAGAATTCCATCTTTATCTCAATTATGATGATCATCGTGAGGATGTACTCAATAGCCTAAGAACATGGAAGAAGAATTCCCTTTACCCTTTCTTTTGTTAAAGCATGAACCATCCACGTATATATGAACCAATTTAAAACTTAATTGTGTAGGGGAAATGAACCAAAATAATTAGAATTCATATATATTTTCAAATACACTCTAAAAATATTTTGAAACATTTTCCAACACTTTAGACATCAAAAATTACCAATTACAAAGTTTTATCTCAGAGCTTCAACTTCTTCAATAGGTTGGTCATAGAATTTAATGAACCTTTTTTTTTTTTTTTTTTTTTTTTTTTTTTTTTTCCTTCAATCTGATTCTTTAATATTATGCTTAGTTGCGAAACAATGTTAAATAACTAAAAAAAAATTAACCCATAAATTTTTGTATTTGTATTTTCATTTTCTCCTCCTTCAATTATGATTTAGACATTTTCATGTAATGGTCATTATGATTGTAAGGGGGAGGCATATGGGACATTGATATCCGCCTTATGACTTTAGTTATAAAGTGATATAGAGTTTAAACAAAAATGACCCACTAACAGTCTAATTTGTTACTGTCTCCAATAATTATGAAAAAATAGAGATTAAGTTCTTAATTACTAAACTAAGATAACTATCAAATTTTAATCAGTCTGAATCAATTAATATTTAAAAAAAAAAAAAAATCCAAAATTTTCAACAATTTCCTATAACAATAAAAAAAAAATAAAAAAAAGAAGAAGAAAAAACATAAACATGTACCACAAGTAGAGCAAGTGAGTATTAGTTGTTTAATCGTTTCTAATTAACAAAGGACATGTCTTTATGAGTCACTAAGAACTCATCGATTTACACCAGAACAATTCATTAAAATGTCAGAACATATCTCTCAAGCAGAAAATAAAAAGAATGAGAAGTACCCTTAATATTTTATTAACTCTACAATTAGAGCGTATATAAATGTGATATTGAGGTAAATTTTTGTTTTGTTTTAAAAGTTCTCACAGTTACTCACATTGAGGTTCGAACTCCTCTCCTCTTTCCTGATTATATCATTATAGTAATGACTCATTGGTATATATATGGAGGGAAACTCTTAATATGAGTAGGGGTGGTGATACATGTGATATAGATTATGACTCACAAACATGAATGGTCATCCTTAATATGACGACGCTATTTTATTAAATAAGTACATATAATATAGATTATGACTCACAAACATGAATGGTCATCCTTAATATAACGATATTTTATTAAATAAGTACATATAAACCTACCTATTTAATAATTATGTTAGAAATCCTTAACACTAACTCAAATATTCAAAATAAGAAAAAAAATTATAAGATGTAATTAAGATTTATATTGAAATGACTTAACTGTCCATAATAATTGAATTTAAACAGGTAACATATTACATATGTCATATTTACGATTATGATATGTTGATTTAAACCGGTCATAAACAGATTGAACCTCTCAACACTAACTCGACACGGTTAAGTAAACGGGTTAATTGTGTCAACCCATTTATGACTTAAACTTGTTTAAAATCAATTCAAACGCTTATTTTGTGTCGTGTTCAAATCGTGTTGATAGATCATTTTATAATTTGTCAAATATGGATGCATGTCTTGATTGATCTACTTTTTAGTATATAATAAATGAACCATGAACCATGAACCCTTTTTAGACGCGTACAAGTAGTTTTAATTTGAAGTCTTCGATTGAGTTTGGAAAATACACAAGTTTAATATACTATGAAGTTAAATTGCGATGATTAGGGAAGAAGATTGTGATATATACCGCATGATAAACATGTTTTATTATTTATATATATATATCAGCACGACATACTAGTCTTCAGGAATGGGGAAGTTTTGTCGTATGTATAATTTTATTTCCTTCATCTTTATTCATCTTATTCAGATAAAAAAAAACTTTATTCATCTTAGTTGGCACCTAATCGTAATAGATGCATAGCTCACCTAAATGCCCTTTGTCAATAAATAGTACCACCTGTATCACATCTATACAACTTTTCAGTTATTAGATGTATATATTTCCGTCTTATAAAAAGTGTCACTTTTAAAAAAACGTGACTCTTACAAATTGAACTGATACGGTTCTTAAAATATAATACTATTTTAAAAAATGATAAGTGAACCGAACCAAACACTCGAATTAGAGGTCGAATTTAACGTGGCTTATCCACGTCTGGTTATTTTCTAATATCGTACTACTTCGTTTCTCTCTCCTCTGTTACTCTTCGTTTCTCTCTCATCTTTTCTAGCTTCCTTCTCGGTTATTCTTTCTCTATTATTCTGGTTCTATTACGTTTTGATTTATTCAATTTTTCGTTTTGATTTCTCAAAATTGAAGATAAACATATAAAACCATTAAAAATTCTTCCAAAACAATATGCACAAACCAAAAAAAGAAATTTTTAAGAAGATTCATCATTTTCTCTTCTCTTAGTTAATTTTATTTTTTTATTATTATTTTTTTTGTAAATAAACAAATTTGTTTTCTTTTCACGTATATATTCATTCTGTAAGAGAATAAATGTTTCTTGTAATGGAAACTCTTGTGCATGACCACCAGATTTTGAGAGAGAGAAAATGTGAGAAAAATTGATGAAGGAAGAGAGAGGAAAAGTGAGAAAAATTGATGAAGGACGAACAACCAGATGATCCAGATTGAGAGAGGAGAGAGAAAAAAAAAAAAGATAGAGAGAGAAAGGGAAAGTGGGGAGAGAAAGTGAAAGAAATAATAAAAAATTATTTCACGCATAATTAGTCTGACGTGGCAAGTTCGGCATTTTTTCGAGAAAAAGTTTCGGTTTCTCTATCATTGCTCTATTATTTTTGGAACAGAGGTAGTACTTTGATATGTAAGGTTACGTGCTATGTAACTTACAAAAAAAAAAAAAAAAAAAAAAAAAAAACAAATGGTGAGAATCAAAAGGTTTCTAGCACAAAAGTGATCTAAGCAATCATATATTTTTTTAAACCATACTTTTAGTAAACAAATGGTGACAATCAAAAGGTTTCTAGCACAAAAGTGATCTAAGCAATCATATATTTTTTTAAACCATACTTTTAGTAGAGGCAGGGTAGGCAAAAAAAAAATAAAAGGTGACTTTTTCATATCATAATGTGTAATATATTAATTATTAAATAATAATTAATTAAAAATCATCCTTCTTATTTTTGGAGATACAAACTTACTAA